TTTATTTTTTTAGATTTTTAGTTGTTATTGTGAATGGTTTTTTTCAAATGACGTATGTGGTTGTGACAACTATATAGAAATAGATTTGATTTTGGTAGAGCATAGGAGTTGCATAATGAAGGTTTCTCTCTACTTGTGATGTGTATAGTATGTTGTTTATTTGGGTATTTGTGGGGTTTTTTTCCTGGTTAAGAAAGTAGCATATACTGTCAATTTTGTAAAATGAGATTTTAAAAATACATAGCTCCAGCATTCATACCGCTATTTTGCCATATTTCTTTTCAGTCTGTGTATGTCCTTTATAAAAACATAGGTATTGGTATGTATATCTTAGAAACGTTAGCTTTCTTTAAAAAAAAAAAAAAAGACACCCTATAAATCAATACTCTCAGGTATCACTAGGTGTTCTATAAACAACATGTATAGATTAGACTTTGATCATATGCACTTTTAATGCCGAAAACAAATGAAGCCATATTTTTCTGATTTTTTTTTTTTTTTTTTTAAGATTTTGAGAGAGAACAAGTAGAAGGAAGGGGCAGGGGGAGAGGGAGGAGCAGACTCCCAGCTGAGCAGGGAGCCCGATGCAGGGCTCGTCAGTCCTAGGACCCTGAGATCATGACCCGAGCCGAAGGCAGACACTCAACCAACTGAGCCACCCAGGTGCCCCGAAGCCATATTCTGTAGTGTGGCTCCTGAATTCAAGCCAGTTGGATCTGGTGTTCCGCTGAAAAGCTATGGTGGAAAAATTGGCTGTGTTAGACTTAATGCTTCTAGCACACTCACAACCCTGGATACTGTACTTACTGATGTAAGGGTGGTTTTTACTTGATGCGACACTGGCTTGTGTGATGGCGTCAAAGCCTGACTGCCTCGTACGAGGTGGCTGTTGTCACTGGGAGCCTGTTGGTGTGGGCACAGAAAATGTTGGGGTAGGTGCAAGGACACCAGGAGATGACAACTAGGGAAGCAACGGGAACCGCACTGTTCACTTACACACTTTGGAACTTTAGGATATTTTGGTTTTCATGACACCTACACCTAAGAGGAAAAAAATAACCTAAGTATATATTTGTTGTGGCAATTTAGGAAATAAGGCACGCTTAGTTCCACTACTCAGAGATAAACTAATTTCCTACTGAATGTGTCTGTGAAAAATTACTGCTTTTGACACTTTTGACAATTTAGGGGACTTCTCTGAATTTCACATGGACTTTTCCCCCAAAAAGCAATGTTTCTGGTCACAGCCTGACTGTGCTATTTTATGTGCCTAGATGAACAAGAGAACAGGACAACCCATGATCCATATCTACTTGGACAAGGAAACAGGAAAGCCCAAAGGTGATGCTACAGTGTCCTATGAAGACCCACCAACTGCCAAGGCTGCCGTGGAGTGGTTTGATGGTAGGAGCCCTGGAGTCGACAGGGGATGCTCACTGGGGCACATGAAGGGTCTTGTAGCAAATGTTGCCCATGTCAACCTGCTTGCTAATGTATGTAATTCTGTTAGAATATCATTCTCCGAAGTGGTTTTGGGGACAAGGGACAGGTACACGTGGCAGAAAGGAGGAACTTGAGAGCCATAGGAATGGGAAGGACCCCCTCTCTGCACTGGAGGAGCACCGGCTGGCTGTTGGAAAGCAGTGTGCCTGGCTCCCTTCTGCCATGGGAGGGCCCCATTGCTGGCCCTGGGTTAGGAGATCCCTTATTTTGACTCATTATTATAAATCCACCTTGCCTAAAATTGTAAATGTTTCTCTAAGCATGGGCAGAAGGTACAGATCACCCCACAAAAATCCAGTATACATCTGAGTTTAAATATATCCATATTTGGCCTTGGTATTGATTTTGGAACTTTCCTGCAGACAAAATCAACTTGAAAGTGTCAAAGGACAGGTCTGGCTTTCATCTCCTGGCCCCTCTATACTATATACTCCTGTCCCTACTTCTCACCCTTTGTGGGGCAAGGGTGCCAGTGCACTCAGCCTTCCCCTGGCTTACTTCCCTCTCTAGGGTACAGGGGATTTGACGTATTTTTGAAAATGTTTTGTGGCCTTACCAGTGAAGATCTTCGAGAAGGTTGTGGATGGGGCGCATGCTACCACGGGGGTGGTTGAGAGTGACGGTGTGGTGGAGTCAGGGAGCTAGGAGTGGTCTAGCTTCGCCCAATCCCTCAAAGATGGAAGAGTTGCAAGTTGGGAGTAATTGGTGTTCTGTTCTCTTGTTCCAGGGAAAGATTTTCAAGGGAGCAAACTTAAGGTTTCTCTTGCTCGGAAGAAGCCTCCAATGAACAGCATGCGGGGTGGTATGCCTCCCCGTGAGGGCAGAGGGATGCCGCCGCCACTTCGTGGAGGTATTTAACAGACATCTTTCCTGAGCTGCTTTTGTGTTGCTATCAATGTTTTTTTACACTTGTCTTTGAGAAACTTGATTTCTAGAGTGTAGGCAAGCCCATTAGAAATAAAAAGGCATGGGACGCCTGGGTGGCTCAGTTGGTTAAGCGTCTACCTTCGGCTCAGGTCATGATCTCAGGGTCCTGGGATCGAGTCCCGCATCGGGCTCCTTGCTCGGCGGGGAGCCTGCTTCTCCCTCTCCCTCTCCCTCTGCCTGCCACTCCCCCTGCTTGTGCTCGCTCACTCTCTGACAAATAAATAAATAAAATCTTAAGAAAGAAAAAGGCATGTAGAATCAATACTGAGCCACTAAATGTTGACAGTTAAAAAGTTTGCAGGACTGAAAGGAAGAGAAGAACGGGTTTCTTGGTCAGCGGGGCTGGCATGCCTGGCTGTCAACCCCGGGCTGCCATTTATTTACTCTGCTTGGGTATCTTTGCATGAGAATGCCTGTTCTGTACAGGTTGTGGGAGCTAACTAAAGTAATTTGCACAGAAGGCATGCAGCTGGGTCCTTGCGCCTGCAGAAAAGTCTGAGGCAAATGAAGGGACGGTGACAGCTGTGATCTATATGAATTCCCGTAATGATAGAGATTTCCTCTGCAGCAAATCTAGTGCTATACAGAGGTGACTGGTTCTGTCTTATTGCAGGTCCAGGCGGCCCAGGAGGTCCTGGGGGCCCCATGGGTCGCATGGGAGGCCGTGGAGGAGACAGAGGTGGCTTTCCCCCAAGAGGGCCCCGGGGTTCCCGAGGGAACCCATCCGGAGGAGGAAATGTCCAGCACCGAGCTGGAGACTGGCAGTGCCCCAATCCGTATGTACTTCTCTTGACAAATTGATACCCTACACTAGTGAAGTCACCCTCTGTCCCGCCCATTCCCATTCTGGAGAGGAGGACTGCTGGATTCTGTCTTGTCTTGCGGAGTATAATGATGACCCAGACTCATGGGGTGGGTGGGTGGCCTAATCAGTCCATCTTCAGAGCCTTCTGAAGGAAGTCATGATTCCATTGGATTCCTGGGGTCCACGTGTACATACATAGTTGTGCATTTTCTGGATCATACACCGGTCTTTCGGGTGTATTGCTGCCTGAGGCTGTGGCTCTGAAGCCATTTTCTGTCAGCGGATCCTCTTAATAGTGTTTGACCAGGCTCCAGTGTTTGTGCTGGTGGAATATGGTGTGTGCCTGCTTAGGTTTGCTTTGTTTAACTGCCTTAGTTCAGTTAGTGATTTCTGTTGTGATATAATTTTATGCAGGGGGTGTGGAAACCAGAACTTCGCCTGGAGAACAGAATGCAACCAGTGTAAGGCCCCGAAGCCTGAAGGCTTCCTTCCACCACCCTTTCCACCCCCGGGTAGGTACAGGTTTGGGGCACATCCCCTCAGCATCTTGGCTCTAAACCTCTTTTGTTGCCTTGGTGGGCTTGGTAAACGACTGCCGTCCACTGCTCACAGCCAGGTTGGTGTCTCAGGAAGTGTAGTCTTGGCGCTGGAGCTCCTAAGGTTCCGTCATCTGTTCTAAAGTGTACCCCAGAGACGCAGACTGAGTAAAGCATCGCCTTTGTGTCTGCTCTGGGAGAAGGCAGCAGGCCCTGAGCAGCCACGCAGCCACCCGTTCTCCCCGTCTTGCTGCTGATCTGTTCTTTTCCTTCAGGTGGTGACCGTGGCAGAGGCGGCCCTGGTGGCATGCGCGGCGGAAGAGGCGGCCTCATGGACCGCGGTGGTCCCGGTGGGATGTTCAGAGGTGGCCGTGGTGGAGACAGAGGGGGCTTCCGTGGTGGCCGCGGCATGGACCGAGGTGGCTTTGGTGGAGGAAGACGGGGCGGCCCTGGTGGGCCCCCTGGACCTTTGATGGAACAGATGGGAGGAAGAAGAGGCGGGCGCGGAGGACCTGGAAAAATGGATAAGTACGTGATGGTGCGGTCCTGGGGCGGGTTCTGGTGGGAAGCTCCCTCTCCTTTGCCCCTTTTCATCCCTCGCCCCTTTTGGCCTTACAGAGGCGAGCACCGTCAGGAACGCAGAGACCGGCCCTACTAGACGCAGAGACCCCGCAGAGCTGCATTGACTACCAGATTTATTTTTTAAACCAGAAAATGTTTTAAATTTATAATTCCATATTTATAATGTTGGCCACAACATTATGATTATTCCTTGTCTGTACTTTAGTATTTTTCACCATTTGTGAAGAAACATTAAAACAAGTTAAATGGTAGTGTGCCGAGTTTTTTTTCCTTCTTTTAAAAGATGGTTGTTTAACTAAGACTAAACAATGGGAACCCCTTGTGAGCATGCTCAGTATCATTGTGGAGAACCAAGAGGGCCTCTAACTGTAACAATGTTCATGGTTGTGATGTTTTTTTTTGTTTTTTTTTTTTTGTTTTTTAAATAAAATTCCAAATGTTTATAAACAGTCATCCTTCTCGGCCTCTGTTGCACAGTCGCTGCAAGTCTACTTGGAGTGTACGCTGACCCGCCAGATAGGCGCCCCTTCCAGCATCCTGGGAGGGGAAACCCAAAATGGTCAGCACGCCACCATGTCGGGTGTGGTGCTGCCAGCAAGGAAACGGGGGTTACAGTGTCACCTTCACCCAGAACCCTAGCTCTAGCCACAGGGACATCTGGCCCAGGTCTGGCTGATTTGCAGGGAGGACCTCCGTGGCAGAGGGCCAGGCACTGTGTGTGGGCGGCTCCCAGGCCATTGTCGGGGTTTAGCGGGTGTTCCAAGTTGGGCTCCACATGCTTCAGAACGAAGGTCTGCTTCAGTGACCGCTAATGGGAACCGTTTGATGTGACATTTTCTTGATGTTACCGGGTCAGAGTTTGTGAACTTGGTAAATAGAGGCTGCTGTTCAGCTCTCCCTGACTGCCTTGTGTGAGGTCAGAAGCCAGGGATTTTCCCCAAGAGCGTGTTTCTGAAATTGTGTAGATGAGAAGAATCCCAGACCTTTTACCTCTGGGCCTTTTTGGTCAGTCTTGTCTTTTCTCGGACTTGCGTGAAGACTGTTTAGGTCCAGGCCAGTAGATTTTAAGTTTTGATGACCTCCTGTGCCTGCATGATTTCAGGCATCCAGAGATTGAGGCCCTAATGTGCCTTCCTAGGAAAAAAGAGGTTTTCCAGGTAAGCAACTGTGTGTAACCCAGTCTGCAAATAAGTCAGTTGATCACCAGATGCTCAGGAAAGAAATGCAGGCCTAGCCATAACCCAGTCAGCAAAGACCAGCTAGGGCAGGGCTACATACAAGTCCTGAATGGGGGCTGGGGGCTTCTGGAAATCAGATGTTGACAGCTAGGACTCCTGGCTCAGAAGTGCAGTTGCTCAGTGTGCTGACTTGAAGCAGTGGAGCAAGTCCTTCATAACCTAAAGTCGCAGCCGCACCTTCTCAGCATAACTTTATATTAGTCCATATTTCAAAAGTCCACAAATTATATCTTACTCGGTTTTTCAGAGCTTAAAGAAATAAGTGAAACCAGCTAGTGTTTGAAACTTTAAGGAGAGATTGTCACCTTTGCCAGGGGAAGGCACAAGAAGAATTTGGAATAAATTATTTCCTCTCCATCCCCTGGCCCATGAGAGCAAGGCCTTGGGAAACATCTTAGGAACCCGTGCACCCCTCCTTGCTCACAGTGGCCCTACTGTCCTTAAGCTTTGCACTACTGGCCCGTGTTCCTGAGGCAGACAGGGACAGGTCTTGGGCGCACTCCCAGCCCTCCTGGACGTATTACGTGCGACATCTCTGTGGCTTCATCTTTTACGTAACGAGTCATTTCTCAAGAATAGGCATTGCTCTCCCACCTCTGGGAAACATCAGCCCTTCTAGGTGCCAAGCCATCTTTCTGTTGCCCTAGTGCCCACCCACTCTCCCTTTCTAGAACCGACTTAAGTCTTGCTTCTACTGATAGGGTAGTTCTCAAAGTCCCCAGCGACCATGTTGCCAAATCAGTGGTCCCTCCTTGGCCCTCTGGTGGCTGCTGTCCACCCCCGCCTCCCCCACCGACCTCAAAAGGTAGGAAGGCCTCCTCTGACCCGCACTGCCTGGCTGGCCTCCCTGAGTGATGGGCTTACAGAAGGGCTGGAGCCGGCCCCTCCCAACAGCCCAGCTCAGCAAACCGGGGCCCCTGCCGCCTCGCGCGGAACCTCACCGTCCTCCTGGCTTCCTTGTTCTCGTGTTACCCCGGCCCCTGACCCAACCCAGCAGGCTCTCTTCAAAGTACGGTATATGTCGCCAGCGCCCCCCACCTCTCGTTTGCCACCCCTCGCCAGGCTCCCCGCTTCCCCCGGCCCCTCCAGCCCTTGCCCCCCAGACGCCAGAGTGACTTCTTGACGTTAAGTCACTGCAATTCTTACAACTCGCCAAGGCCTTCCAGCCCACTTGGCATGACTCACAAGGCCCCCGTGACCTCAGCTGCCCCGCTCAGCCTTGCTGGCTGGAGCCTGGCCACACAGGCCAGTGCTGGTCCTTCAAGGGGCCCTGGCAGGTGTCGGAAGCATCAGAGCCCGGGTGCACACCCTGAGGCCCAAGTTTAACCACGACATCCCTGGGCTTGTGCGTGGTGACAAGCCCCACCTCACCACATTTACTTCCCGAGAAGCCGTTGAGGTAAGAGTCTACCCGCATCTCCTGGATGAGGCGGCGGGACTTGCCGGTGGCGGCGGACAACCAAAGTTGAGGGCATTCTACTGCAGAGCCTGAGCTCCCCGCACGCAGTGTCTTGTGTCTGAGAGGCCGGGGCTCTGGCAGCACCGGGTAGGGTTCAGCCACCACCCGGCCTGCAGCCCGTGCCAAGGGGTGACAGGCAGCCCTCCGTGGGAGCTGCGGCACAACCATCACACGCCACCGGCATTACCTGGCTCCTGCCCAGAGCTTGAGGCTGCCCCAGGAGTGGCTCGTGTCCCCGCCTCGAGAGGGGCTTGTCGCCAGCACCAAATAGTCCTGCGAGAGGTATTTATGTTCTCGGCGCCTAGGCCTGGGGTTTGGTAGTGTTTATGTCAGAGGGCTGATTTCTCTCAGCCGAAAGAAACGTCTGGACTGCACTGGCCTCAGAGGACCTCAGGCAGCCTGAGTTCCAAGCGCTGTCTTGCAGGGCTGCACGAAGCTGGTCAGTGCCCCTGGAGCTGGAGGGGGAGGAAAAGCAGGGCTGCGGCCGCCAGAGAAGTCCTGCTTCTGTCCCACAGCCTGCTCCAAACTCTCCAGGAGCTCTTGGTCGGGCACACAAAAACCATTTCTGTCACAGCCTCATGGGCCCGCGAGGCCCCACTCCACAGTCCCGGACAAAGGCTGAGGCGTCGGGGGAGACCGACCTGTGCCCTGCACACGCGCAGACCACAGTGAGTGGCTCACCTGCCCCGTGGGAAGGAATGTGGGGCTCCAGGCCTGCAGCAGCTGTGGGGCCGAGAACAGGGCAGTGACCGGGGCCAGCGGCTGAGGCAACTCGGAGCCAGGCTCCCAGACACCGGGACCCCAGGGCCAACGGCCAGCTCTTGAGCTGCCCCCTCCCACCCCCCCCACGGAGCTGCCAGGCACAGGGCAAGCGATGGGCAGTGCAGCGGAGGCAGGTGGGAAAGAGGGCCCTCTGGGGCTTTCCGGCTTTGATTTCTACTCCTGGAGGGCACAGGAGGCAGCCCAGGGAAGCGGAGGGTCACTTGTCCCACAGCCGGGGCAGGAGCAAGCAGCTGTCATGCTTGGACCCGCATTGGAACAGAGGAGCCTAAAGACCCCTGTGGGTCACTCACTCCCCCAGGGCTGTGCTCACAGGCTCAGGCTAACCTGCCGAGCTTGGAGTGGACCCGACCAGCACCTGAGCTGCCCGGCACCAGGGCCAAGTCCTGCCAGTGAGGGCTTTACTTGAAGACTCCATGGCCATCATCTGACCTCCACCTGCAACCAAGGCCAAGCACGCAGTTCCCTGGCACCCAGCAGTGGAGGCAAGAAATCCGGCCACGTGCCCACTGGCCACAGGCAAGACCATGTCTGCCTTGGAGGCACAACCTTCTGTACAGCGGGGTGGCCCCTGGCGTCTGCGGGAATGGGTTCAGGACAACCATAGCCCAAACCTCCTGTCCCTCCAGCAGCTTCTGTGACTTCCCTTGGTCCTGCAAGGAACAGCAGAGGTCACCACACAACAGAGGGGGTCAAAGCTGAGGCCCTCCACAGCCTGGGCCAGGAGTCTGGCCATGCCAGTCAGCCCTGCTACCCCTGCCACCTGTCCTATAACAAGAATGTTGGAGTCTGTGCTCTGGAGGGGGCCTCTGTGATGGCAGGCCACAGCCCAGGGGATGGGAGATAGGGAGGAGCAAGCCCCCACCCACGTGTCCCCTCTTCCTCAGAGGAATAGTAGACACCTGTCCCGACTGCTAACTAATGATACCATTTTCACAGCTCTAGGATGCACTGTCCCATTGTCCACACAGTACAACTGGGGCTCAGAGAGGTTAACCATCTCACCCAACAGTGACCAAGAGCAGGGCTTGGGTTCAATCTGACTCTCTTATGTCTAGAGCCCTGTCGTTGAGCAAGGTAGATATAAGCAGGAATCAAATTCCTGCACAGCTGCTGACCGCACACATCCCTTGCCCTCCCTGGGTCTCAGTGTCCCCACATGGTAAAATGAGAACACAGAAAATCATCCTACCTCATAGGATTATTTTGAGGACTAAATTACTTCGTTTCCACACCTTGCTCTTCCCCCTGAAACCGGAGTTCCCTTGCCCCATCTCCAGCAGCCCTCTCTCCCAGGTATCAGCTGTCCCAGACCTGGGAGTCATTCTTGACTCTGTCCTCACATTCACACCCATTCACCAGCACATCCCATTAGCTCTCCCCTCAAATACAGCCAGAATCCACCAATCTCCACCATCCCCACTGGTATCACCTGGTCTCCTCTGGGGTTCCTGCCCTGCCCACCACAGCAACCACAGGGAACCGGCTAAGACCTAAGTCAGGTTGCACCCTTCCCCTGCAATCAATCCCTCCATGGCTCCCATGTCCCTCCAAAGAGGCATGGCCCACAAAGCTTTACTCGCTCCGCCCCCAATCTCTCTATCTTCATCCCTCCCTCCACCCCAACCTCACAGGCCTCCTTACTCTTTCTTGAACACACCAACCACATGCCCACCTCAGGGCCTTTGCACTGGCCGTTCCCACTGCCTGAAATACTCTCCTTCCAACCATCCACACGGTTCCTTCCTTTAGCTCCTTTCCTGACCACTGATTTAAAACTGCAGCCTCATCCCACCCCACACTCCTAGGTCACACCCCTTGGCTCCACCTCTCTTTCTGGTGCCTCATCCCTGTTTCAGCCCAGGGGCTGCCTCCCTACCACACTGTGAACCCTTAGAGCTGGCTCTGTTTCCTTCCCCACATTTTGCTCTTGGTTCCCAGTGCCAGAAGAGACCCAGCACACAGTAGGTGCCACATAAGTGTCAGGCATTACTATTACTATTTACCGGCCTTCCTCACTCTTTGTGGGTAGGAGTGCTGAAGGAGAGGGTAGATCAGAACCTGCACCACTTGGGTATCTAGGACGCTGGGCTGTGAGCCCATGAGTCATGAGGACTCAGTGAGATGATGCACGTGATCAGCCTGGCAACCAGCAGGTCTGGCACACAGTAGGTACTCAACAAATGGTCCTGATCCTTGAATGAGGATATTCCCATTATAGCCATGTTCAAACCCGGACTCCACCAGCTGATCTCTTGAGCCCTAGTTTGGGCAAAAGAGAGTCCCTCATACAGGTGACTTGACTAGTTTAGGTCAAGGGCACATAGCAGGCCTGGTGCACAGTAGGAGTTTAATGAAAGCTCTGAGACTTGGCTATGGGTGGTGGTGCTTCCCCCCAGGCTGGCCCGGTTTGGCCAGCGAGGCTGCGGCCCAGCCAGGCCTGGCCTCCCCGCCCAGCCAGCAGCAGGGGGCAGGATTTCCCCTGCTCCCAGCCTGGTCCCTCCCCAGCAGTTTGAAAAGAAACCAGGAGCAATTAACCCTCCCGAGCCAAACTGACCCAGGCCACTTCATTATCCTCCTTTCCCCTTAATTCTGTGCCTGACCTGGGTAGCCAGAGGTGGTTGGGGATAGGCCTCTCCCCAAAGGGCATGGGCCAAGGTGTCAGATCCGCAGGCCTCAGCCACCTGCCTACCCCTCTGAGCCTCAGCGTCCTCATCAGAGAAACGGGTTCCCTCAACCTCAAGGTTAAAGATGAGAATTCAGTGAGGAGTGGCACACCCGGGTGGGCAGAATAGGCCATCCTCCCCCACCTCCACGAGGCCTGCACTGCTGGTAGGAAGCTCGCACCCAGAGTCACGCTGGCCTCATTTATCTGACCTAGGAAGGTTCACTCCAGACGGAGGTGACTTTGCAGCCCCAGTCCCTATCGCTTCCTGAGTTGTCTTGGGAACAGGCCGTGCGGCCCTCCCGAGGAGGCAGCTCTCCGGGGAAGGGGTGTAATTAAAAAGGCCCAAACCTCTCCCCAGGAGACCAAGGAGGTTTGGAAGGGACCGTTGAGACCAGCCTGAGCGGGGATGGGGCGTCCGGGCTAGTGGGGTCGCCTGGGGGCCCTGGTCCCGCCCCCACCCCAGTCAGGAGACTCCAGCTCCTCCCTCGGTCCGCCCCGCCAGCGCTGGAACAGCTCTGCCCCTTTAAGAGCGCGCGGCCCCGCCCGCCCCCTCGGGCCGGATCCGAATTCCAGGGAGGCGGGGCGGAGACGGCGGGCGGGTGCGGAGGCCTCAGCCGCCGGACCGGATTGCTGTGGCTCGGGCGGCGCCTCCCTGCGGCGGCCCGGCCCCGCTCGGCCCCGCCGGGGCGATGCTCCCCGAGGCCGCAGGATGAGCGAGGTGAGCGCGGGGACCCCCAGCAACCCCTGCCTGGCGCGCAATCACGGGGACCTGGCAGCTGCGGCCTCCGTTCCCCGGGGCTGTGTGACCTTGGGCGGCCCCCGCACCCTCTCTGGGCCGAAGACGGGAGGCCAGCGGGGGCTGTCGGAGGCCCTTCCGAGTCCCGGCCCCGCACGCACCCGGCCTGCGGCGCTAGGGAGGCTCCTCGGAGGAGGCGGGGCCTGGCTCCGGCACCCCGGGGCTGCCCCTGGCGCTTGCCATCCGCAGCGCGGCTCAGGTCGGCCTGGCTTCGCCACGCACTGCTCTGCGACCTTGAGCGAGCCCTTACCCTCTCTGCTCCTCAGTTTCCTCATCTGTAAAATGGAGATAAAATCACTAACACTCAGCCCTGGCAGGGTCATTGCGGTTACTGTTACTGCTGTTATGTCGTTGTTATAATGACACAGTCCTTAGGGAAGGAGAGCTAAGGGAGTACCCGGGACTTTCGCAGAGGAGGTGGGCCGGGTACCAGCCCTGAGCAATGGCCCTAAGCATTCCTGCGGTTGGGACCCGGATTCCTGGACAGGTCCTGCCTGTCCACTGTGAGTCCACGCCTGGGGGCTGCATCTCTAGGGCTCTGCTTTGCACCTACCATGGGGGGCAATAAGGATGCATGTGTGCCTGCCAGGGAGGGAGGATTCAGCCAAGTCCCCCATCACCTCCCTCCCAGAGGGAAATAGTAAACACTTACAGATACTAAGTCATTCATACAAATTATCTCATTAGGTCCTGCAAGGAAGGTACTCTTATTGTACCCATTTCACTGACGAGGAAACTGAGGTACAGTGAAGTTTCTCACAGCCAGCACACAGAACCAGGCATCTGGCCTGAGATGACAGGCGAGTTGCAGGTGGTCAGCGGCTTAGTCTGTACTGAGTGCTTCGTGGGTCCTCACAGCAGTCCTGTGTCCCTGCCCACCCACAGTGACTCGGCTGGCCCGGGCATGGCGGACCCCGTGGCGGGCATCGCGGGCTCGGCAGCCAAGAGCGTGCGGCCGTTCCGCTCGAGTGAGGCCTACGTGGAGGCCATGAAAGAGGACCTGGCCGAGTGGCTCAACGCCTTGTATGGCCTGGGTTTGCCCAGCGGTGGTGATGGCTTCCTGACGGGGCTGGCCACGGGCACCACCCTGTGCCAACACGCCAATGCTGTCACCGAGGCCGCCCGCGCTTTGGCCGCTGCCCGTCCAGCCCGCGGGGTGGCCTTTCAGGCGCACACTGTGGCGCCTGGCTCTTTCATGGCCCGCGACAACGTGGCCACGTTCATCGGCTGGTGCCGAACAGAGCTGGGTGTGCCTGAAGTGCTCATGTTTGAGACGGAGGACCTGGTGCTGCGAAAGAATGAGAAAAGCGTGGTGCTGTGCCTGCTGGAGGTGGCGCGGCGTGGGGCCCGCCTCGGCCTCCTCGCCCCTCGCCTTGTGCAGTTTGAACAGGAGATCGAGCGGGAGCTACGTGCTGCACCCCCAGCCCCCCATGCCCCCACGGCCGAGGACGATGCCCCCGAAACTGCCACCACAGCAGGGGCTCCTGCCCGTGGGCCCCGCATGACACCCAGCGACCTGCGCAACCTCGACGAGCTGGTGAGTCCGCCAATGAGGGCGCGCGCCCATGGCCCTGCCTTACGCCCCCACCGCGTGCCAGGGACGGGACAGTCTGTCCCATGGGGTGGTGCCTATGTTGAGCATCAAGTGTATAGCTGGCCCCAAGGAGATGGGCACCACCCAGACAGGGAGAAGTGCTGGGTGAGGGCACATGGCCCTACTGGGCCAGGGATAAAATCTGAACTGCACTGCATGATCTCCCCACTTCCTTTAAGGGCTACCTGTGCACCAGAGAAGTGCTGTATACTCCCTCATCCAGGGGGCCACATGATTTGACCCCTTCTGTATGTACTCGAGGGCTAGACAGTTGCATCCACATCACAGAGCTCGAGGTTTGAGTGGGTACCTGTGACGCTTGGCTGTGAGCAAGATGCCCGGCACACAGTAGGCTCTCAGTGAGTGCCTAGGGAAGCTCCCCAGGGCTCTACAGGCACACCCACTCCCCTGCGACCCTGCGCACATCACTGATCTGGGAAGCCAGGCCCAGAGCTGCTGCTAGGAGCCAGAAGTCCTCTTAGGAGAACGGGATTAGCTCTACTGTGAGCATAAGAGGTACCAGACCGTACCCCCAGCTCCCTCCTCCTCTTCTCAGGACCTGGGTATTCCTGACGCCCCCGCAGCCTGGCCAACAGTTGCCTTCTTATCAGGAGGTTAGGACTATGATGTGCCTATCCCAGAGGGGGGTAGCCGGTTGGCCATGGGCAGAGGCTGCCACCCCACCCCTGTCTTGGGCCAGGGTCACCCGAGGCCCATTTCCTCGGGCTCCACTGTGGGCTGGGAGGCGGGCAGGGCCGTCCACATAGCCAGCCTGGCAGCTCCCGGCCTTGGCGGGGGCATGTGGGCAGATGTGTGCTTGCTGGGCGTGTGGCCTGGGTGTGCATGTTGGTGAGAGAGTGTGTGTGTATGTGTGTGTGTGTACCCACCCTACACGTCTGTGGCACCGATGTGGTGTGGGTCCCCTGCACTCGTGTCCCATGGCCTGCCTCCTCCCAGGACCTGGCCTCCCTGTGGGGCCTCAGCCTCTGTGAAGTAGGTGAAGGGGGAGTGAGGACGGCTTCCAGGACTGCCCCAGGCTCTGGGGCTGGAGGGATGCGCCTCACTGGGGTCCCAAGCCCTGACCTGACCACAGCGCCACCATCCTTTCCTGGTCAGCTCCCTGACCTCTGACAGCCAACGGGGAAGGGGAGCTGGTGAAAGGTCAAGTGTAGAGCCTGCACCAATCAGGGGCAACGCAATCTGTGACCCGTTTACCCGGAAGGACCTGCTTCCTCCTGAGCCTGGAGCTGCTGACATCAGGCCCCAGGAGGAGGGACTGGATCCCTGACCACCAGTCTCTCCTCTCTGACCTCAGGTGAGGGAGATCTTGGGCTACTGCACCTGCCCAGACCAGTTTCCCATGATCAAAGTCTCGGAGGGGAAGTACCGCGTGGGAGACTCCAGTCTCCTCATCTTTGTGCGGGTAAGAGCTCGGGGCTGCCCTGCAGGCCCACGGGGGGCTGCTGGGCCCATCCGACAGGCCGTGACCTGCCCACGCTGGGCTCCCACAGGTGCTGAGAAGCCACGTGATGGTGCGCGTGGGTGGCGGCTGGGACACTCTGGAGCACTATCTGGACAAGCATGACCCTTGCCGCTGCTCGTCCTCGGGTCAGTGCCCATGGCGGGGGCGAGGGGGGCTGGGTGGGCAGAGCGCTCGTGTTGGTGGCACCATCCTTCACTTGCCACCTGTTCTCTCACCCCCCTGCAGCCCACCGCCCGCCCCAGCCCAGGGCTCGAACATTCTCCCCACAGAGGGTGTCGCCCACCCCCAGCCCTCGCGCTGGCAGCCCAGCCCCTGGGAGTGAGCGACGGAGCTCCCGGCCAGAAGTGACGCCCATTAGCCTACGCACCTCAAAGGAGGGAACAGAGACCCCCCTCAGGTGAGAGGCAGGATGGCCCGGGGCTGGGGGGGCGGGGGAGAGGCATCCGCCCTGGCCTGGATGACAAAGGAGCCTGTGCTCCATAGTGACTCACACCCTGGGAAAAGTTCCCGTGGGTGGGGGCAGGCCTGGCTTCCTATCTCCATGGCAACCCAAGCAGCCGAACAACACAGCTGGGGCAGGCCCTGGGGGCTGGGCGGCGGCCAGTCCTACCCACTTCCCTCTGGCCTGCCCAGGAAGCTGGAGGCCTGGGGAGGGGGAGCTCGGAGCCTGGCTTCTTCCGCTGCCTTGGGGTGGAGGGTGGCCCTGGCTGCCGGAAGCTGCTGCCAAGTCCCTCACTTCTCTCTGGAAGTCCCCAGGAGGACCGAAGCCCTTGACAAGCCCCCGCCACCACCACAGGTGTCTTCCCCGCCCCCAACCACTTGGCTGCTTGTTCCTTCCTTTCCCGGCCCTTTCTGCATGCCAGTCCTGTCTCTGTCTGCCCCATCTCCCATTCTCTCTCTCTCTCTCTCTCTCTCTCGTTCCCCTGCCCCAGGGCCCGGGACCAGCTGCCCCCCCATCCCCGCTCCCGCCGCTACTCCGGGGACAGCGACTCCTCAGCGTCCTCAGCCCAGAGCGGCCCCCTTGGTGTCCGCGGTGAAGACTCGGGCACCGGCCCCCGGAGGGAGCGGCCCAGCCGGCGTCTGACCACAGGCACCCCGGCCTCCCCGAGACGGCCCCCCGCCCCGCGCAGCCAGTCCAGAGACCGACTGGATCGGGGGCGGCCCCGTGGAGCCCCAGGAGGCAGGGCAGCCCAGCTGTCGGCCGCCAGCCCCGCCCGGCGGGCCCGGAGCCAGAGTCGTGAGGAGCAGACCACGCTGCTGGTGCACAGGGACCGAGATGGGCAGCACTCGTGGGTGCCCCGGGGCAGGGCCAGCGGGGGCTCAGGCAGGAGCAGCCCCCAGACTGCCCGGGCTCGCAGCCCTGCGGCGCTCCGGCCTCTCCGGGTCTCCAGCCCCAGCCCAGAGGCAGGCGCCACACCGGCCAGCGTCTTCCGCACCCCCCTACAGCTTGACCCGAAGCAGGAACAGCAGCTGTTCCGGCGCTTGGAAGAGGAGTTCCTGGCCAATGCCCGAGCCCTTGAGGCCGCTGCTGGCGGGAGCCCTGCAGGACCAGCCTTTGACCCAGCTCGGGCCCCAGACCCCCCAGCTCCTGACTCGGCCTACTGTTCCTCCAGCAGCTCCTCTTCATCCCTCAGTGTCCTGGGTGGCAAGTGTGGCCAACCTGGGGACTCTGGCCGGATGGCCAATGGGCTGCCCGGGCCCCGAGGCCCAGTCCTGTCCAGCTCTTCTGATGAAGGCAGCCCCTGCCCTGGTGTGGGGGGCCCACCAGACGCACCTGGAAGCCCCCCGGCTGGCCTGGAGCTCCCAAGGACCTGGGCACGGGGCCGGATGGACACACAGCCAGACCGAAAACCCTCACGCATTCCCACGCCTCGGGGCCCTCGCCGCCCATCTGGATCCACAGAGCCTGGGTCCTGGCATGCCCTGCACTCTGTGAGCCCAAGGGCAGAGCCGGATTCCTGGATGTGATGAACCAGCCCAGCTGCCCCAGCCCCCAGGTCCACATTCCTTCTCTTCCTTTTCCTTCGTGGCCTTAACCCCTCTGCAGCAGGGAGCCCCCCCCCACCCCTGCCTCTCGGGTACCAGACCTCATGGGACCAGACCCCTTGGGACCACATGGCACAATGGGACCTCTGTCGTACATTCCGGTTGGGGGATGAGTGTTGCTATTTAATTACTAATATTATTGAATGCCTTAGAGGAGGCCAGTGAGGACCCCTCCTGAGGTCCTGTGGCCCTGCAGAGCCTGACAGTAAAGTATTGTTCCAGCCACTTGTGTCTGCTTCTTGGGGTCAGACTTGGGGCCATCACACCTTTGGGGGAACGCTTATTACATGTTGGGATTCTGGCATTAGGTGCCAGGGAGCAATGCCTGGCAGCTCTGACCTCTTAAGCTTGAGACCCTGCAGCCCATCCGAGAAATGCGAGGTGCGCTTGCATTGTTTTCCCCTTTATTACCTCCCAAGAGGTGTGACTTAAGAGTTTGTCCAGTGAAGCCGCAGGGGCAACCTGAGAGCTTCCAATCAGATTAATAGCGAAGTCCAATGGGATTGTAACCCAATGAGGTCCCAGAAAGGACTGCTCGAGCCCAATGTAGCTTGGGGCCTGGCTAGGTCCAATGAGGCTCAGAGTGTCCTGTCGCCCAGGAGACTGACTCGGAGGTTTCCTCATCCAATCAGGGAGGAGACTTTGTCCTGTCCAATCCGAGAGAAGTTGGGCAATTTCGTCCAATCCAGGTACCCGGTTGCGCCAATCAAACCACCCTCCCCCCACCATCAGCGTCGTCGTCCAGTTCAGTCACATGAGGCTGCAGCGCGCGGGGTGCAGCGCCCCCTGCAGGCGCAGGGCTGGGTGCGCAGGGCGCGCGCGCACCAAAGCGCAACGCAGCAGCTCGCGGAAAAGACGCAGCACGTGCCAATTGTACTTGGCGGAGCACTCGAGGTAGCCGCAGCGCCAGCCCCTGCGCACCAGGGCGGCCAGCGCGCGCCGAGGTCCGAAGCGCAGCCGCTGCCGGTCCCGCTTGTTGCCTACCACGAGGATGGGAGCCTCGGGTGCGCCCGCCGGCCTGTGGGCCAAATGGGGACGCGGGCTGCCGTGCCGGACACCCCACAGCCCGGGACCCCTCCCCCCAGTGGGTATATACACTCCTGTGGCCAAAGACACCCCCCCCCCAGGAAATACCAGACCCGAGGGGCCCAAAGACCGCATAGCTGGTAGGCCCGAGACCCGGCCAGGACTGGGGAAGAACCCACCCACTGCCCTTGGGCAAAGGCCCAGCCAGTCTGGCAAAAGCTCCCCTCCTCTGCCCACACACACCTGTGGCCGTGTGCCCACCTGGTCTCCGAGATGCGCTGCCGTAGCGCCTTCACGTAGTCGAAACTGTCGGGGCTGCAGATGTCATAGACGAGCACGAAGGCGTCCGTGTCCTGCAAGCTCCAGTCCTTGGGGTCCGGCCACTCCTGGGGCGGGAGGCCAGAGTTTCTCACTCTCTGACCGCCAAACCCTCTGAACGGTCTTGACGCTAAACCCACAGTTCATCCTCAGGCCCCGGCTGTCCCCACCCCCTGTGCGCCATCTCCCCCCAACAAGCTCCATAGGCCCTTACTGTCTTCACGGTGGCCAGGGTAAACATTTCCTACCCGTGCCTGAAGCCAGTCAGCTACCAGCCCTCCTCACCCTCGGCCTCCTCTCTGCCCACCCCCTAGCTTCCTCCTTCCAGCTTTCCAAAGCTCGGCTCGCGGCTGGCCCCTTGGGCCCTCCCTCCCTATTTCCTACAGCTGCCTCTAAGCTCTGGGCTCCGTATTCCCCAGGCCCTCGGAGACCATTGATTATGGACAGCTGTACACATTCGGACCTCCCCGCCTAAGCACATGCTGTTCTTTCCACCTGGCAGGCTTTTGCCACTTCTTTTAATCAAAACTTCACTCATCCTTCCAGGGTCAGCCCCAATGTCACCCTCTCCAGGAACCCCTGCTTAATTCTGGGTGCTCTTTCCTCTTCACCTCTCTGAGGCATCCAGCTCCAAGGATTCAAAGTCTGTCCTGGACTTCGCACAAATTGCTAAGCGAGTCACAGAATAGGGCAGCAGAGAATGACTGCCCTAGAAAGTACACCTGTGTCTGGCCCCATCCTCCTCCCACTGAGGCTCTGCCTAAGGCCCCAGACATACAGTGCTCACCCTCAGGGAGACACAACCATGCTCTGTCGTGCACTGATCCAGAACCACCAGCGGAGGCAGGCAAATATACAGGCACTTTAGGCGAGTGAGGAAAAAGCCGCTTTTCAAAATCGCAGGGCCTCGGGCCTGATCTTGGGCCGCTCCAGGCCGTCAAGAAGGAGAGAGAGACACACACAAACGCCCCAGGACACACTCATCCTTCAATCCATGAACACAGTTGGGCACCCCGGGGCTGTCCAGGCAGACACGCACGTGTACACCGAGCACCCGCCACACACACACACACGCTGTTACACGCCCCTGCCCGCCCCTCGAGCCGCTACCTCTGGACCCCCGGGGTTCTGACCCGGACGAGCGCCGTCGCCGTCGCGGATGCTCAGGTCGTAGACGGCGCCGTCGAGCAGCACCGCGGGCCGGTAGAGGCGTGGCCCGTCCGTGGGCCGGTGGCGTTCGGGATAGTCACCAAACAGGAACTGGCGGATGATGGCCGTCTTGCCCACGCCCGGGGCGCCCAGCACGGCCACCCGCAGGCTGCCCCCCATGGCCCGCGCGCCGTGCCGCGCCCAGCGCTGGAAAGCCTCATGGGCCAGCGCCGCGCGGTGCGCCCCGCGTGCCCTGCCCGGTGCGCCCCGGCCCCGCTCTCCTCGTCGCCCCCCGGAGCACCCTGGGCCGCGAGAGGCCGGGCCAGAGGACTGAGCTGGCGGTGGTCGGAGGGCAGACAGACAGCCGAGCAGGCCGACGGAGGACGCACGAGCAGCTCCGGCAGGTGCCGAAGCTCGGGAGAGAACAGACCCCGCGCGCCGTGCAGACACCGCCTCCGCCCCGCAGCGCGACTAGAGGCGCCGGCGGCCGCGCGAGCACCGAGGTCCGACCTCCTGGCCGCGCGGGTCCCGCGGCGGATCGGGGCGCGGGGGCGGCGCTGCCTCTCGGTGCTTCCGTCCCCCCGTCCTTCTGTCGCTCCGGCGCCCTGAGTCGCCGCCGCAGCCAGCGGCGCGAGCGAGCGATCGGAGCTTCCCGGAGGCGGCGATGAGGTAACCACCGGCCCGCCCCTCCCCACCTCCCCCCTACCCGCCCGGGACGCTCCTCCCGGGAAGGGTCGCGGGAAGGTGACTGGGGCGCAGGGAGCCGGGGGAGGGATCCAGCCCCCTCCGTGTCCCGCGCTCCTCTCACCCGCTCCAAAATAGAAGTCCCTTCCCGCCCACGTCCGCGTCCGCTCCTCCAAACACCGCTCCCGCAAGCTGGCTCCAGACAAACCCAGCCCGCGGGAGTCAGGCCGCCCGGGGTCGGATCTACAGCCCCAGCTGTGTGACCTTGGGCGAGTCTCCGCGCTGCGCCGGCTCTCTGCTCCGCAGCCATCAGACGCAGACACCTTGCTTGAGATCCTACTACGTGCTGGGCCCTTTACTAAGCTGTTGCCCGGTGATCACTGAATCTACTACAGCCTTAGCCTGGTTATCTCCATTTGAGAGAGGAAAACAGGCCCGGGAGGGGGCTCTCCAAGGTTGGGGGGCAGTGGGTGGCCCCTGACGCACAGCCTGTGGTCTCCTCTGAGGAGCCCTCCCACTTTTGTCCTGCACACAGAGGTGAATGTCCAGCATGAAACAATGTATCAGGTGGCCGTCATCCAGGTGGGGCTGGACAGAGTGTGCTGAGCCTGGTACACACCAGGTCACAGTAGCTCAGCCCCGAAGCCCTGTCCCAACAAGGCTGAAAGATCCAGAAATTGGTCAGCACCACCTCTGTCACTGCTAAGGCCAAGTTTTCTCCACCTGTAGCCTGTAGCTTCCCTCGAAGCCCCAATGCCCCCCTCCCTGGAGCTAGTGAGAAGCTCCTTCACCATTACAGCTTGGAAAGTCTGGGTTTGTCCAGCCCCCATCCTCTGATGCTGCCTGCCTCCTCCCTGCAGAGGGGGGCTCTCCCATTTCTCTGACCAGATACACAGGTACATCTCTATGTTTCTGCACTGACCAAGGTTTTAACTTGGGTGTCTCTTCAACAAGCATTCCCAGTCTTAAAAGCTCACTGGAGAGGCGGGGAGGGAGAGAGAGGGAAAAATCCTACCTTAGGAGAGTAGGTTCTAGAACACATGGGTTCCAGGAATTGTAGGCGCATAGAGTGGGAAGTGGAGGAGAGAGGGGAGCTTAGCCCTGAAGTGAGGAGAGGGTGCATCCTCCAGGGAAGCAGGTGATGGCAACAGAAGGCTGTGTACTGGTTGTGTTTTCATCTTCCCATGCTGGGTCAGGGAACTGGGTCTGCTTTCACTCTTCTCCTCAGCCACTAGGGAGCTCAGAGCCAGACTTATGGCTACCTCTGACAGGTGTTCCAGGTCTTCAAGCCCAGTGAGTGGGGGACTACTGGCTTCATCTTCCTTTCCTGCCATGATTCTTTCCCTTCCACCGAACTTCCCCACTCACTTTATAACATTTCAGACTTAGGGGTTTTGTGAGCTGCCTCAATTCCTTTGGCGAACAAGGCTGAGCATAAATAAACTAAGCTCCCCTTCCATTTTGGCATTCAGGAGAGTGCGGGGCTGACATCAGGATGATCTTCCTTAAGGCCCTGGGTGGGACCCGCATCTCTGACTGGAGCACCCCCTCTTCTTGCTCCTTGGGAGCAAGACCACCCTTGGGAGCTAGTTCTGTTATGTCCTTCCTCTGGAAAACCTTCCTTGCTTCACTTTCTGACAGAGTGCCTTATTGGGCAAGGCTTCTTCAGAACCAGCAAACAGGGCTGTGTGTGGGTGGGTGGGGGGCATCTCTGGGTCCCAGTGTGCTTTCTCAGTGCATGGTTTTCATGGTTTGGGAATGATGGAGGACACTCTGGACAGGGAATGTCCTAAACCTCCTAAAAAGCCCTGCAGACTGCACAGGGGTGACCCATTCCCTAGGAAACTCGTGCGCCAGCGCCCCTAGCAGCAGTCCCCGTTTAGCAAGGGCCTGTGAGGTCCCACGCCCCAACCCATAGCTGCATGCTCACTGAGGCCCAAGGGTGCAAAGGTTTTCCTGAGATTTCCCAGCAGGAGAGTGGTGGCACGGGCCCTGGAACCCAGGACATTATGCCATCAGGTCTGACTTATCTGAGCAGCCCAGGGACCAGAGGGCCTTCAGGAAAAGATCAGCTGGAGCCTGTGGCCGCATGGGGAGGGACTTTGAGGAAGCCCCTTTCATCCGTGGGGACTGAGCCAAGCAGTGATGGGAGTGGGCCGTCCAGGTGCCAGGCTCCCCAAAGACTAGCAAGCCAGAGAACTTGGGCTGGGATGTGAATTTCTAAGTTTCCCTTGGCGGTCCCCTCACTCCTTCCCCAAGGAGAGGCAGCGGGAGTGCTGTCTGTTGCACCACGGCCCCCAGGCTCCTCACATGCTTCCCATTCGGTGCTCCAGAGAGCACTCATCAAGGATCCATACATCTGTTCCTGTGGCACATAGGACCTGGTGCTGGGCCCATGGTGGCCAGGCTGGTTCCTGCCTGCCCTCTGTGGCTTGTGAAGGAGCCAGGCATGCAGCCAGGCACAGCCAGATGGAAAGGCCTGGGGTCTCTGGGGGCTGAGGCGACCCAGGGGAGGCACCAGCCTACTGAGGTTGGGGGCTCAGGAAAGGCCTAATGCCACACCTAAGCTGAGCCCTGAAGGGTTAAGCCACAGAAAGTGGGGTGGGCTGGGAGGCTGTTGGGAGGCCCCGGGCAGGGGCAGGGCAGGCACCTGGTGGAGAATCCTGAGCCCACAGCCTCCTGATGCCAGCCTGCTGAGCACCGCCCTTCTCTGCCACCTGTGCCCACACAGCTTCTCCCCAGCTGGCCCGATTCCAGCCCTTTCCTGGGGTCGAGCACCCTGGACTGCATCCAGCTCCCAGGAGCATTTGCTCTGGGCCCTGCCCCAACCTTGCATCATGGTCTGTCCTGACCTTTAACACTTGTCCACAAGTCCACTTGTCCCAACAGTGACTCACCCCCTGAGCCCTGGATGGGGGGGGTACCCCTCTCTCAGATGCTTGGCATATAGTGGGTCCTTGGTCGTCTTTATAATGCCACCCACTGAGGGTAGTGGTCAGCCTCTTGAAGGCCCTCAGGACGCGAGGAGGCAGCACAGAGTGGGTGCTGAGTTTGAGGTCTCCTCCCAGGAGTGTGTAATCTGTGCAAATTACTTAAACTCTCTAAGCCTGTTTCCCTCTCCGTAATGGGATAACAATGGTCTTGACTTCATACAGTTGTGGGAGGAGATGAGATAAAACGGAGAGAAAAACAAGATAATTTAGTAAGGTGGGAGGGGTAAAAGATGTGTACATATAAAACAATTTCATTTTATATGCAAATAGCTACTAGTTATGAAACAACGGAGGGACACGTGTGTCTACGCGGGTAAGTGTGCACACAGATATTCCTAGCTCTGTCTGCTGAGAGGTCCTAGAAGTGCTAGCCCAGGAGCAACAAACACCCAGCACTCACTTAGATCTTGGTTTCTAAGGCCACTCGCCAATGAAAGGCACCACGCTCCTTGGAGAAATGGCTGATGCTAGGGTCGGGGCAGGACAAATACAAGATGAGCCTGGAGCATCTTGTAATGCCAGAAAGCAAAGAAGTCACAAAGTAACGAAAGGATGGGCCATATCAAAGGGACACAGAGGCTACCCGAAAGAGCTCCCAATGGCCAAATTGGCACAATGTATGCAACAAAATAAATAATGCACTTTTGGATTAAATCCAAATTGGAAAATAAAGACCCATTAGTCCAGACTGATATAAATGACTAAATTAATAAATAAATATGGGAGAAGAAACCAATTCTTTCCTACAGAAGAATTTCAAGTCATTCTGTAGCTATTCCCTGCCCCCACAGTCTTTCCCAAGTGTAGGCTACACTTAGTGACTTGCTTCTAAAGAACAGACTAGGGGAAGGGGAAGAGAGTAACTTCACAGTGGAGAAAGCTGGAAACATGACCTTGGCCAAGTGATCAGGCTAACGTGACAGTGATAGACCGATGTTGTGTGCCCCTGATCTGATGTAACAAAGAAGGGCAACTCTCTGGTCTTAAACCCACAACCCCGTCTAACCACGAGAAAAACATCAGACAGACTGAAATTGAGGGATAGTCTACAATATACCCCACCAGTACTCCTTGAAATTGTCAAGGTCGTGAAAAAACAAAGTCCAAGAAACTGTCACAGATTAGAGGAGCCTGAGAAGACATGACAACCACATGGAATGTGGGATCTGGGCACAGAATGAGGACATGAGTGGGTAAACTAGTCAAATCTGAATAAAGTCTGGAGTTTAGTTTACAAATTATATATTACATAACTTATTTTATAAATATATATTATTCTTTTTTTAAAAAAAGATTTTATTTGACAGAGAGAGTATGAGCAGTGGGAGCAGCAGGTAGAGGGAGAAGCAGACTCCCCACTGAGCAGGGAGCCTGATGTGGGGCTCCATCCTGCGACTCCAGGATCATGACCTGAGCCGAAGGCAGTCACTTAACCATCCAGGCACCCAAGGACACTTAGCCATCCAGGCACCCAAGGACAAACTAGTTTTAAAGTTCAATTGGGACAAAGAGGGT